CTCGGAGTTTCTCTCTCTGTCATACGATGGACCCGACACAGCACGGGGATTCATACTAATAATACCTCTGGAGAATTCACACAACGTCATCTAGTCCCACTGTAAAAAGAGCTTGAGTTATGGCTATTAGACAACTGATATAAATATTTTTATAAATACATACATAATATACATAGGAAACCACCCAGATTGATCATCATCATCATCATCATCGCAGTCCGGAAGACGTCCACTGCTGGTCATAGGCCTCCCCCAAAGATCTCCACGACGATCGGTCCTGCGCTGCTCGCATCCAATGTCTTCCAGCGATCTTGACCAGATCGTCGGTCCACCTTGCTGGAGGCTTTTCCACTCCTTCCCAGATTGATACAAACCTAAAGTCATACTGATTTTGAGGTTTGTATCATGAATACAAAAGTTGGTACAATGCGAGGAATCAAACCCGCGACCATCGGAATTTAAGCGGTATGCTAAACCGCTAGACCGTAGGCCTTCAATAATATAAGACGAGCGGCAGAATTTCTACAAAGTCTACTTCCGTAAAATCCTCATTGGTTGGGACACGGGACACAAACGTCTTAAATCGGGACGTCCCAATAAAATCAGATTAGTTGGTAACCCTACACAGTACCTACAGAAGGGTCATTGTGGACACAATAGGCCGAAGGTAAGAGCCCTCAAAAAGCAGGAGTGGGCAGAATTGTTTTCAATCTGTTTGTATGTTAAATGCAATATATTTAATTGTATTCAAATGCCGAGTGCTTGTTTTGCTGTTACGAAATGTATATTTAATTTTATGTTACAATTTTAAACGTATTCAAATTATTTCAATGCCGAATTTATTGAGGGTTGAAACAAAGGACTCTATGTAGAGTCCGTTCGTGTACCCTAAACGTATTATATAAATGAAAATATACATAAAACAACATACTTTCTACCCCTTTTTTAGAAAATTGCGCCGTCGGGGTATTGAGTCGGACAAAAGAAATCACAGCGCAAACGGGCCATTCATTTAGGTAGTCTGCTACAGACATAACAGAAGTACACGCAGAAAAAAACCCATCATAATCGGTCCATTAGTTTAATAGCTACGATGCCACAGACATACACACACACAGATACGTAAAAATATATAATTTTATAGTGACAGTCAAAAATATTATACAATTGTAATAAATACATCCCACATTTAAAATGTCACCAAAATTGCTTGTTTTGCTGTTAAGGAATCTATATATATATATATATATATATATATATATATATTTATGTTACAATTTTAAACGTATTCAAATTATTGCAATGCTCAATTTATTGAGGCTGAAACAAAGGACTCTATGTAGAGTCAGTTCGTGTAAAATGTATTACTATAAATGTAAAGTCACTGTCGCTGTCTGTCCGTCCCTATGTATGCTTAAATCTTTAAAACTACGCAACGGATTTTGAAGCGGTTTTAATAGATAGAGTGATTCAAGAGGAATGTTTATATGTATATTACATGTACACCCGGACGAAGCCGGGGCGAGTTAGCTAGTTAATATTATAAAGTTTGTGAGTACGGATGGATGTTGGTTACTCTTTCATGCAAAAAGTACTGAACGAATTTTGATTAAACTTTACAGTAATATAGCTAATACATCAGAATAACATATAGGCTATAAATTTTATGCGAGTGAAACCGCAAGCACAGCTAGTATTAAATAAATTAATGCGTGAAGCAGCGCGGACGGAGAAGTATGAAATTTTGCACTCTTATTGAAATTGGGTTCGATTCCCCGCACGGTACCAACTTTTGTATTCATGAGCATAATTGTTTGTATCGATCTGGGGGATTTCTATGTATGTTATGTATGTATTTATAGAAAAAAAATGTATTTATATCAGTTGTTAAGTACCTACAAGCTCTGCTTACCTTGGGACTGACAGACTTTGTTAATTGTCCAGGGTCATTTATTTATTATTTATTATAAAGAATTTAAACAACAGTTATACGCTGTAGTAGGAACCATACGACATGCCTTATATAGTAAATAGTATCTCTTCATTCACAAAATGAAATAAACGTATAAATAATCCAAAAAGAGGTCAACAACATTACACCCCCCCTCGGAATCTAGTAAAAAGATCGGGGCATTTCAAATAAATCCAATCACGAGGGCCGAACCCAATACCCACCCGGGGTCGGGGCATCCTCGACAAGCAATTAAACTCCGCCCGTATTAAATCTGTCACCCCATCGCAGTATCTGATGAAAATTTTCGCAAACTTATTAAAATCCACCGATTCACACGTCTCCACCACTCGCAGAAGTCGGCTATTGGATGAGGAGGTTGGGGCGAGATGGAACTGCTTGGGAATATCATTACGACTTACCCCTCTCTACTCCTGAATTGATAAATCTTTGCTAAACATTATAATGCTACTAGATAACTGTGCAATGTACAATGTCGGTCCACGCGGTTTACCATCGTGTTAAATTCCGTTAATCAATACAAATCATACTGGTGCCCCGCCAGCGTAAATCGTTAGCGCAGGCCCTATCCACAAAAAAAAAAAAAAATGTATATATATTTCTGTTACATCACATAGTATAAAACAAAGTCGCTGTCGCTGACTGTCCGTCCGTATCGTGCGCTTAAATCTTAAAAACTACGCAACGGATTTTGAATCGGTTTTTTTAATAGATAGAGTGATTCAAGAGGAAGGTTTATATATATAACACGTGTACACCCGTGTAGAGCCGGGGCGAATAGCTAATATATTAATAAATCAATTACATCTCAAAATCTAGAAACAATTGTCTAGGTTAAGTAATAAACTCTCCTGTGAGGAAGTTGCAACTGCATGAAACAGTCGTGGAATTCAATTTAAGTCCGTCATAACTTGATTATAGAGTTGAGAATTGCAACTGCCGTGTAAATACATTTAGTTTTAAGTGGATATAAATAATTATTTAACTATAGTGACATTTTAAATAGAATAGAAAATCCTTTATTCGAATAAACTTAATTTAAGCACTTTTGAATAGTCACAGTTATCATTCTTTTAATCTACCGCTCGTTCGGAAAGCTGTCTCATCACAAGAAGAATGAACAAGAAACGCGCGTGTTGCTCTTTTAAATAATCATTGTAACTTTACATACAAAACTACCAAAAATACTAAATTAGTGCTAGTTGTTGGTTGGAATTCGCACGTTTCGAATTGGAAATGTAAAGTTACTATGATTATTTAAAAGAGCAACACGCGAGTTTCTTGCTCGTTCTTCTTGTGATGAGACAGATTTCCGAATGAGTAGTAGATTAAAAGAATGATTACTATGACTATTCAAAAGTACTTAAATTATTTTAATTTGAATAAATAATTTTAAATTGAATTAACATTATAGTCATACTATTCAAAAGTACTTAAATTATTTTAATTTGAATAAATAATTTTCTATTCTATTCTATTCTATTCTATTCTAAATAACACTAATTTCTTCTATTCTTCTTCTAAATATAAGAGTGATTTAGTGCAGTTGTATAATTGTTTTGAGATTCATTCTCTAATTTTACCCGTAGTCTATGTCACGTGATGTTCATGTGAACATAGACAATACAACTATAACGCTATATTCTCTCTGGTACAATGTAGCCGAGTAAATCGTCGAAATTAAGGCAAAGAGCGCCCCCGAGCGCAGTAAGCTTTAGAGCAGAATATTACAGGACGTTAAAATAGTTTTATGCAAATACGCATACCTTTTGCAGTTACTATGTTACTCTTTTGTTCTAACGATGCTTCATTATACAAAATAATTTCTACTGAGAATAATAGTATAGTTTGTTTTTAAATAGTCTATAAAAAAATAAATAAATTCTGTATTTTATGTGCACACACATACTCGCAAATATGTGTGAGTATGTCACACATATTTGCGTACGACCAAATATATATATTACTAGCTGTACCCGCGACTTCGAACGAGTAAAATAGTACCCTTGACCAAATAATGAAAAAATATTCTATACTACTAATCTAACCCAATAAAAGCCAAGTAAGAAAGTTTCATCGTTATAGCTTCAAAAATCATGAATTTATATACATAATTCCATACGACTGAATCAACAGCCTAAAAAATAAGTTTAAAAATGACAATACTTCCTACTTATGATCTTCAACTTCCCTTTCAACCCCTTACAAATTTTTTGGCATTAAAAAGTAGCTTTCTTAGGGTTTAAACTATCTGTGTACCAAATTTCATTTAAATCGGTCAACTTTCGCATTTGTAATATTAATAAGGACTATTGATATGAAATTAAATTAAATGAAAAACACTTTATTGTTCCTCTCGCAGAAAGATATAACAATTACATAAATTAATATGTACATCAGATATAAAAAGACGAAAAAATTATATATTGCTCAATATTTTTTTTTTATCAATCAAATATATATAATAATAATACAATAGTGCACTCGATGCGGTAATGGTATATGCTGGCGGGGCATTAATGAAGGATGATAAGATGAGAATGAGGTCAGATCAGTTTACCCATCGTGATGAATAGAAGCGATGGTTTTTATCTCCTCAGGATAGAGTGTATACTTTCCAAAGGAGATATTACGTTTATGCATGAGTGGGCTACAACCACAGGATGTGTAGTGATTCCTCTCCAGCTTGTCAAAATCTGCAGACATATGAAGTTTATCAAATTACTTGTCCTTATATATTTTTCTTCTATTTATCACACATACTTATAATTCATCCATTTAACTCATTCTTCATTTTAAATATTTAAATTCATCAGGAATGCTATATCTTTTTTTCAAGTGGCTCCACTGAAAATCAGCGCTGTAGTAACACGCTGCGGCACCAGCTGAGTGGAAGCCTTTTCAGCATAGACGATTATTAGTTTTTAAGTTTTCTTTTTTACTCTGTACTCTTTTTTATGCTGAACAAATGATTATTATTATTATTACTTGTGAATGACAGAATTGAAAAAAAAAATTTTTGTTGCAGTTTCGAAGGAAGATGTGAAGGAAATCGAGAGTCCAACTGGTAATCCAAAGATGACAAGATATACAACAATATCAAGGTATGTACAATGATTCATTTATTACTAGATAACCCGATGGAAATGCAACTTGCATTCCGCTGAACAATTTACACAACGCCATCTAGACCCAAGCTGAGTAAAGCTTGTTTTGTGGGTACTAGATAACTGCTTATAAATAAATAGATACATTTTTTGTTAATATATACGTAATATACATAGAAAACACCCAGACCAATACAAATTGTTTGGGGACCAGGCACCATCAGTAATAATAACCCGGGACAATTAACACAGCGCCATCTAGTCCGATGGTAAGCAGAGCTTGTTTTATGGGGACTAGACAACTGATATGAATACTTAGATATTTATTTCTTTTTAAATACAATCATACTCATAAATACAAATTTTTGAACTGTGCGAGAATTTGAACTCACGTCCATCAGAAGTACAGCGATGCGCTAAACCGCTAGACCACCGAGGCCGTCGAAACAGTATTAGAACAGCCCGAAAAAAAAAACTCAGGAACCACTACTCTATTCTAGTATTATAAAGAAGTAAAGCTTGTGAGGTTGTAGAGGATAATCTCTGGATCTACTGAACCGATTTTGAAAACTCTTTTAGTATTGGATAGACCATGTATCGAGCATGTTACAGGCTGTATAACATTACATACAACCTATAGTAGCGGACCAATAACAGAATATATAGCTGAAAACATCTAGTCAATAAAGATATTGGATATATTTCATCTGATACCGAGGTCTATGTATTTTGAAAACGTATTGGATAGACCATGTATCGAGCATGTTACAGGTTATATAACACTATGATCTATAACAGCGGAGTTGCAATAAAAATGTTCCAATAACGGGTAAAATGTAATAATAATAATAATAGGGGAGATGAGATTTTTTTTGGAAGTTAGGAATAATAATAATAATCTCAGGACAATTCAAACAGCGCCATCTAGACCCAAGTTAAGCTAGCTAAAGCTTGTGTTATTGGTACTAGACAACTGATACAAATACATAAATAATTTTTTTTCGTAAATACATACATATTATACATAGAAAATACCCAGACCGATACAAACAATCATACTCATGAATACAAATGTTTGTGTACCATCGGACGTAAAGCGATGTGCTAGATCGCTAGACCACCGAGGTCGTCAAATGTAACTCAAACGAAGTCACGCTGGTCAGCTAGTCAATAAAGATACAGCCACCACTAAAACTAATTCAAAATTTGACAATCCACTTCCACTATGACAAGGGTCTTCCGTCTTGATATTTCATCTGATACCGAGGTCTACAGGGTCCGCAAATCGCAATATAATATTTTGCTTTCCATGACAGCCATGAATGTTTGAACTGAGAATAATGTCACTTTGATTTATGAGAATAGTTATATTATATATCCATCAGTTAGAACCCCATTAACAGCAATAAACCTAAGGGTGTTTTTTTATGGATGAATATAATAATCTCACAATATATAAATCTGAAAATTGAATTCCTCACGAATCACTCTATCTATTAAAAATACCGCTTCAAAATGTGTTGCGTAGTTTTAAAGATTAGTTAGAAAGCATACATAGGGACGGACAGACAGCGACAGCGACTTTGTTTTATACTATGTAATGATATCGATAGTCCTCTCATCCACAGGTATCATACCTAATCACCTACATCGTAGTCTGAAACAATTAAATATACTAAAATCAATACATCACCCTTCGAAAGGCTGCCATTTTAAATACCTGTAGAACTGTTCAAAAATTGCTGCAAATTGATGAAAAGGACATAACGTCAGTCACATAAATGAAAAGGCACAAACACACACATACGCCATAAACCGTAACCAGCAAAAGATGAGTTAATAAGTTAACAATGAGAATAATAATAATCTCAGGACAATTCACACAGCGCCATCTAGATCCAAGTTAAGTTAACTAAAGCTTGTGTTATGGGTACTAGATAACTGATATAAATACATATATTTTTTTGTAAATACATGTAATACATAAAAAAATACCCAGATCGGTACAAACCATCACACTCATGAATATAAATGTATATGCCATGCGAGGAATCGAACCCGCGACCATCGGAAGTAAGGCGGTATGCTAAACCACCAGATCACTAAGCTCTTTGTTTTAATTATATATGTATTTTGTTACAGATTTATTATACATATGCAAAATGATATTATTCTAAATCCGAGTACCTAACCACTAAACCACTAAGCACTCCTTTATCAATTAAACTTTGCAGTGATAGTTTTAATTGAGTTGTATAACCTTTCTATTTAACTATTGTTCTGTAGATAAAAAGTTTTAGCTTCATTTCGGGGGCAGTTCGTTATCTCTTAATCTTTATGTATTAGATGAAATTATATTCTATGTTAGATATTTAATGGTTTAATCATGAAAACTGGAGTTATTAGAACATATCAGATAATCTGGGTATTAAGATTTTGCATATTTTATTTTATTTATTTAATTCTGGCTACTAATTACTCATAAAAGGTATTTATATATCTTACAGACTAACATATATATGTATGATTTTACCATTAATCTATACATATACATAAAATTGTAGTATCTATTTGTAATATTGAAATAACCGTTTTTTACTACACGCATATGTATATAAATACGGTACATACACCAAAATAACCTTTTATATAATTTTTGTCTGTCTGTCTGTCTATTTGTTCCGGCTAATCTGATATGGCTGTACCGATATTGACGGGATTTTTTTGACAGGTAGTAGTTACTGATGTAATAAAGTGCAACTTAGCCTAAGTTGCACTTTATTTTAGAAGAATAAGTTAAATTGTACGCGGATACAGCTAGTATGAAATATTAGTATAAATTATCTTTGTGGTCAGGGCATTGGTGACGGCAATCTGCCACGGTAGAGCCAATATAACCATTCCCGTTAGATATAGTTAGATAGATAAATGTTTTATTCACCAACTATCCGCCCCAGCGTCTCACGGGTGTACATGTATTATACATATAAACCTACCTCTTGAATCAGTCTATCTACTGGTAAAAACAGCATTAAAATCCGTTGCGTAGTTTAAAAGATCTAAGCGAACAGACGCTGGGACCGACTTCATTTTCTATTATATAAAGTGCAGTAAAATCCCCAGTAAAATCATCAATGATCGATCCCCCGTCCAATTCAAACGGAGATCGAAATTACAACAGCCTAAGCTGAGGTTCGAACCCCTAGCGATGCCCTCAGACTACAGTCGCATCCGTCAGGCGGGAGTTGGCCATCAGCCGCTCCATAAGTCCTTCCTTTGGTTTGGAGTACCATCTGCACTCGCCCCCTATCGTCCAGTGAAGGCCAGCTGCGGCCAACAGCATAAGAGTAGTAAAAACTCAGTAACATATAAATATATAGTTATATATCCAGGTGTTGTGTTAATATGTTGTATGCGATATATACGCAGGTTGATAGGACTGCGCTAGTGTATCGACCCGGATTTCTTCGAGATTAAATCGGATTTCCCTCACTCGGGTACTGCCAATAACGTAAGTCTGACCTTTTTTAACGAAATAAGTATATTTGCAGGTCACATAGATTCACGGGAGGAATATATTGATGTTTATTTCCTTTTACAGAACACAGAAATGTAGGTAATATATTTACGTAAGACAGCCTCGGTGGTTCAGTCGTTTTAGCACACCGCTTGACTCCTACAGTCGCGCGTTTGATTCCTCGCACAGCGCCAAAAGAATAGAATATATATCTTTGTTCAAATAAACTTAATATAAACACTTTTGAATAGGCATACTATATTTATTCTATCACTCATTCGGAACGCAGACTCGTCACAAGAAGAATAAGATAGAAACTTGCGTGTTGCTCTTTTGAATTTAAAAATGAATCTGTATTGTAAACCTATACAACCTCATTTGTAAAAAGTACGAGCTGAGTTTCTTGTCAGTTCTTCTCATCTTGAAATCACTCCGAACTGACGGTAGATTTGACATATCATAAGAGTCTGTAATAGACCTACAGGAATAAAGATATTTTGAATTTGAATTTTTGCATATCATTGAGTTTCTTGTCAGATCTTCTCAGGTCGAAAGAACTCTTAACTAACAGTGGATTTGACATGTCATAAGTCTGTAATAGACCTACAGGAATAAAGATATTTTGAATTTGAATTTCTGCATACCGTACCTATAGAAGTACGGTATGCAAAAAATGTATAGTTTGGAAACACAAGGGATACGGTATGCAAAAAAACTTATACAGGTTACATTATTCAAAAATATGTACAGTTTGCAAACACAATTATTAAAGTTTTAAACGTTTGTAAAACAAACTGCGACTGTAACATTGTTATAACATTTTACTCATTTCCTAAAACACATTCGGTACTTAACGTGTGAGTAATATGAATTACTTTTTGTGAATATGTCATAAAGTTGAAGCCATTTTGTGTACATACGGGCTTCAATATCGACCGGGCACGCTGCGTTTATTTTATACATGTAACCCGCGGCGCTGGAAGCTTTTGTTGAGTCTATATAGAAAAATGGAAATTTCGTCTGTACGAAATCAAAAGGGGATATCTCATCTATATTTATCTCACATATCATATACAGGTATTTCTAGAAGTCTATACCAGAAATATATGTTATTCGAGGTAAGAGCAGATTAAATATCTAACGACCTCGGTGGTCTAGCGGTTTAGAACACCGCTTTACTTTCGACGGTCGCGGGTTTGAGTCCTCGCACGGCACGAATATTTGTATTCATGAGTATGATTGTTTGTATCAGTCTGGGTATTTTCTATGTATAATATATATGTACTTACGAAAACAAAAAAATCTGTATGTAATATATATATATATATATGTATTTGTATCAGTTATGCATATGGGTACTAGACCCATAACACAAGCTTTAGCTAGCTTAACTTGGGTCTAGACGGCGCTGTATGAATTGTCCGGAAATTATTATTGTTATTAAATATTTTATTATGCGATATATGATATGTCAGATATA